CCAAGTGGCCTGTGCATGAGACCTATCCCAGTATCCCCTTTCCTCTTTCTTTGTTTTTCTTGGTTGAAATAATAAATATAAATAATAAATTAAATATTGTACTATGTTAAAGTTACAAAAACTAATTACATTATTAGATAATTAAATGGATATTAAATTAGTAATTAAAGAGTAAATTAATTACCAGTGACATAACAAATCTCAGTTATGTCAAACTTGGACTACTGAAAAGTAGTGTGCAGTGTGCACTCACTCAAAATTTCAGGTGGCACCAACCAGTGCATAATTTAAATAAAAAATAATATAATAAAGGAAGAAACAGAATTAGACACAAGGCAAAGGCAATTACCGCAATTCTGATAATGACAAGACAACTGATAGAAAAAAAAAAACATTCACATTTTTTAATATGGTTTGTCTTTTCCTAAGGATATTTTCAGATAAATAATTCGGAAATTATCTTATCCGTCGGCAGTGGACACTCGCGTTAGAAAAAGTCTAATAAAGCTAAAGGGACCATAATTAGAATCTCTCTCTCTCTCTCTCTCTCTCTCTCTCTCTCTCTCTCTCTCTATATATATATATATATATATATATATATTTGTTGTTAATTGAGGTGTCGACTTGGCCAGTATATTTTCCCCATTTCGCACCTTCGATAGTGACCCCGGGGTGCCAACGGGACCATAATTAGAATTTTTCTATATATATTTGTTGTTAATTGAGGTGTCTGGACAACTAAAATAGCCACAAACCGCTACGGTCTCGCAAGTAAATCAAGGTAAAGGTACTCTCTAACATTTCGTCATATAACCCCTTGAATAAATCATAAACAAATATACTATTTTTACACCCAACAGACTGTGGACTGAAATCATGCACAATTCTTTTGATTTACCTTTACCACTGGGCTACCCTACCATGGTGGGTTGCACAACACCTAGATGGCCAAGTGCAGATTTAGCTAAATATTCAGTTCACCAATGAAATTAATAAAAAGTAAAGGATTGGATTAAGTATGATTGATGTATCATTTGCATACTATTTTCCTACTTTTAAAATAAAGAATTAACATCAGAAAATATATATTTTTTTTAATTATAAACTGTAATCCGATAATATATAATACTAAAAGTAACCCTAAGGAAGAATGAGAAGGGATGTTTTCATACTTAAACATCCTAATCGAACAATAGTCATCTACAAATAAAAAAAATAATTAGAAAAATGTTAAGCAATTTCATGGATAATGATCATCATTTATGTGTGTGGAGGGTTTGAATAAACTGGTAATATAGTAAAGTGACATGAACCTAACTTTATCTCCTTCTCTTCTTCCACCAACTTCATCACCTTGCATGTCATTTTTCTCATAGAGTTTGATATTTAGAACATATATAATGGCTTACGTTAGCAATATCTCTTCAGATGCTACTGTAGTAAATTAGTACCCAGTAATCAAATTGCATGGGAGAAGAATTTAATTTAGCTAAAATATTGTTCTTATTAATTAATTGGACTTTCAAGTTCTTCTCTTCAAATTCTTCTATTAGTTACTTGGAATTCTTAAGATATATAAGAGCNATATATATATATATATATATATATGGGTTGATGCCAACCTATGGCCCTAGAAAAAACTTAGATGGACAGTAGTTGTTGGAGTTGTTGACTACTTTAATATTCGGGTCTTTTATTGAGTTTAAACTTAGGAATTGGAATCGAATTAGGTTTAATCTCTTAAACCTAATAGTTAAACACAATTTTCTTTTGTAATGAGTGATAGTAAATGTCATTTTAAAACAAGAGAGGTGAGACTAGGGACGGATTTAGCCCTAGGCCTACCCTCAGATTAAAAAAAAATATATTAATGTACAGGCCACCAAAAATTGTTAATTAATATATATACCTAGGTTCACCCTCAGATTTAAAAAAAAAAATGAGAAGTATTATATATATATATATATATATCTAGGTCCACAAAAAACTTGTTATTAATATATATATTTTAAACCCACATCATATTAAAAGTTTAAAATTCTCTTCACTTTTTTTCTCCATGGCTCCACCTGATTTTTATGATTTTATCCCCAAAATTCTTTACTCTCTCATTCTCTTTCTTTTTCTCATGTTGTTCGCTCTTAAAACTTTTGAAAACTGATATTATTAAATTTTCACTACTCAAGTTTTCATAATTAGCTATGTTTTTTAGTTTTATTAATTTTAGATATGTGTATTTTTCACCTTTCACCCACCACTTTCCTATATTTCAAACGACATCGTTCAGCTGCTCAAAATTATTAAAGAAATTTGAGTTACTATCTATGTTTATACCAAGAAAATTCCCTATTTTTTTATTAATTCATATTAAAAGTCAACGCAACGTTGATTTGATTGAAGTTTTGGTTGACTTTAGCTTAATTAGGTTATGTATGGTCAAAGTCATAAAAATTTATATTATAATCTTTGAAAGCAAAAAATAAAAATATTAAAAGAATGTTTTGTTCAAGGTTTACTTTAACACATTTACTCAAAATTTTGTTTCTCATAGATTTATTCAAGTAGAAAAATATTGTGTTATTGCATATTCTTTTCTCTTAAGTTCTTAATATTGTATTATTTTTTTTTTATTAAGGTTTGATGATTTTTTAAAGTTTTCTCTAGTTGTTTGTCAAATAATGGCGAAGCCATAGAGGTCCCCTCTCAGCAAAAATCCTAGATCCGCTACTAAGTGAGACAGTATTAAAATAATATTGACTATGTTAGACGTAGTCTATATTGGGTGAACCAGAGCAAATCGCGCGTATTACTAGTAGGAAAATATTGTGTTATTGCATATTCTTTTCTCTTAAGTTCTTAATATTATATTATTATTTTTTTTATTAAGGTTTGATGATTTTTTAAAGTTTTCTCTAGTTGTTTGGCAAATAATGGCGAAGCCATAGAGGCTCCCTCTCAGCAAAAATCCTGGATCCGCTACTAAGTGAGACAGTATTAAAATAATATTGACTATGTTAGACGTAGTCTATATTGAGTGAACCAGAGCAAATCGCGCGTATTACTTTTTTTCTTTACTGTTTATTTTGTTTTTGTATTACTCCCTATTTCGTTCAATAGTGTTATTGTGTGTTTATCTTGTTCAATAAAGTTTTAATTTGTATGATAAGTTTCAAAAAATAAATATACAAATGATGTGATATATTACATCGTGCTAATACGTGGGATGATAAAAAAAAAAGAATTGATGTAGCATGATATTTGTACAAGCATATAAATGTGTTTGCTCAAAATCATTCATGCCTTCCTATGGAAGGCTACTTTTGGCTCGTATGAAACCCGAAGGAAAGCCCGAAAAAACATCAACTAAATAGAAGTAAATCTCTCCACTGCTCCTCGAATGAAGGCATCCTTCCTCCCCACTCATTAATAAGAGCTTTGGAAGACTAAGTCATCTGGAAAGGATGACGACCGGTAGATCAAAGAATATTAACAATAGAATATGTCCGAGAAAGATGAATGATTCTACAGCGGCAGGGACGGTAGAGGACGGGACTTAGGGGGTCACAGGGTGATTCTTTCAATTGTAGCGGTATGACATCTTCCCGCAACGTACAACTGTATCTAATTTCATAACATAGCTAATGTACGTTTCACACAGGACTTAATTAGCTAGAATAGTTAATTAACTTCATCAAACTCTGAACATGAATTTATGAAGAGATTTATAATTTACAACAGTGTTATGTTAATTAATATATATATTCTTTTAATTTTCTTATTTCTCATATGGCAGCTGTTTAATTCATTTATTTGTTTCTCTTTCACACACACTCACACACATAAATGAATTAAACAGCTGCCATATGAGAAACAAGAAAATTAAAAGGCTTGGCGCGAACAAACATTACAAATGTACAAGTATACAACAAACAAAACCATACGAAGCCAAGAAAGAAAACCAAACACAACCAACAAAAAAGATTGGTTTAATCAATCAATTAGAGACTTTTTCTTATTTAAAATTAAAGATCAATATTTACTCTATCAAGGATTGCCAGAGCTTTTGTCTTGTTCAACTAACATCTTGTATCCAAGATTGGATATATATATATAATTATGAGTGTCCGAACCAGTTTGCAAACACTTCAACTAATCTTTTAGGACCTGAAACTACTAACCGAGTACAAGTAGGGGAGTTCAAAAAAATGTAAAAACCGAACCGAACCAAAAAAAAGTTCGGTTACGGTTTGAAAAATTCAAAAAACCGGATTTCCGGTTTGGGAAAAAAAATGGTTAATCGAAACTGGTTTTACAAATATATATATATATAAAATAATTTCATTTCAAACTTTTATTTGTATCAATTTTTAATGTATTGTTAGTAGTGGTCAATGGATATGTATGAATGTTTAATTTTTATTTGGATATGTATTGTTTATATTTACAATTTAATTTAGGAAAAAATTAAAAAAATAAGTTTTATAAAAAAAAAAAAGGGAAAATCGGTTCAAAACCAATTTTCCCTCCAAACTGGTTCGAGAATTTTCTTGAACCGAAAAACCGGTTCAATTCAGAAAAGCGGTTAACCGAACCGGTTAATCGCTTTTGAACAGCCCTAGGTACAAGCTCTAGTAGTCACTCCTATTAGCAATTGTGAGGACTCGAACTCAGAAGACTATGTAAATTTAGATTCTCCTTTGCTCTTTTACTATCCCTAGATTGGATATTCCTTCCTCAAATATTGGTAAATATTCTAAGATAAAAATTTAATCAACCTTTTTCATCTTAAAAATTATGAAGTTTCATCTTAAACCGACGCCATCAACATGGAAGTTTGCATTTTAAAAAGTTTTGACGTCTAGCAGATGTTAAATATAAAAGAAATTCATGAACCGAGATGGGATTATAAAAATATGTTAGCATAGAGGAGAATTAACATATGTTTCTTAATATATGTTAGATTAATTGATTTGTGTCTCATCCTTCTCCATTTTCAATCAATGGAACAAGATCGAATCAGCGAATTACCAGACGAAATCTTGCACCACATACTTTCATCCATGGCAACAAAATTCGCAGTTAAAACAAGTATTTTGTCAACCCGGTGGCGCCACCTCTGGAAGTTCATCTCCACAATTCATTTCGACTCCTTTCCATATCATCCCTTCCGCTCCATCGATTACAGCTTCGTGGATGGAACCTTAGAGCATCACAAAGCCCCTCAACTCCACAAGTTTCTTGTATCAACCACCATTCGCGGTGACCTCTACACCAATCTCGTTCCCAAGTGGGTTGATTTCGCCTTGGCGCGCCAAGTTCAAGTTCTGAAACTGGATTTCAAAACGTCCCCACTTCCTGATGAAGTCTTTGATTTGCCTCCTTCATTTTATGCACAACATTACTCACAATCTTTGAAACAAATCTCTCTCGGTTGTGCTCATTTGAATCCTACATTGAGTTTCGAGGGCTTTTCTTCTCTTAAAGAGCTGCGTCTCTGGCGTTGCAAGCTCAGTGATGAAGTCGTGCAAGAAATTGTTTTGAAGTCTAAACTTCTGGAGAGCTTCACCATTGACAAGTGTAGAATCCTTAAGTATGTGAGAATTTTCGGGCGTTCTGATATGCGGTTGAAGCATTTCACGTTTGTTTGGAGACCTCAACAAANGCTTGCCATGGCACCCCGCGGTTTCAAAGTACTGTACTTAAAACACGCCAAAAAACTCAGCTTTTATAAAATGAGTGATGCTCATTGTCAGTCTCGTTCTCATACATGCTGTCATCGTGGTTTGCCGTTATCATCTGAGTCTGAAGTGTCTTAGGCTAAGCCGCTCAGGGGTGGATTTTCACCTACCTTTTATCACTCAACATTCGCACAATCACTAACCCATCTCAAGATTACTACTAAAAACAACTACTCTCCCACTGCTTTCAATCTTAAACGAATATATTCTTCTTCTGCTTTTTATTTCAACCAACGGACACCACCCTTTCATTCCTTCTTTGCATCTTCACAAAGTAATCAAAATCAATTCTTTTCATAGCTATTTTTTTTTTTTTTTTTTAAAGAAGACTTCTCATTTCATTTGATTTAAAGCTCTCTTTCTCTTTTTCTTTTTTTCTTCTTATGATGCGCTCTTCTTCTTTATTCTTCTTTGCATTTCCATCTTCTTCCTCTTCTTTACTTTGTTCTTTCTTTCTTTTAACTTTTTCTTGAAATTTAATTGGGAGAGGAAAGACTTAAGATCAAGATATGGAGACTGCTGTTCTTGATAGTATAATTAAGAGGCTTCTTGATGTCAGAACAAAACCAGGGAAGCAAGTTCAGTTATCTGAGGGTGAAATCAGGCAACTCTGTGTTGTCTCCAAGGGTATTTTCTTGAGGCAGCCCAATCTTTTAGAGCTTGAAGCTCCCATCAAGATATGCGGTATCTTTCTACGACTTCCTATACTCAGTTTTTTTTAATCATCTTTTTGGTTAAAATCGACTCTTATGAATTGGGTCGTTGTCAATTTTTGAGCTTGATGAGTAGTATGTTTTTTGAATTTCATAAGTTCTGAAATTATTGCAAATTTTGTGTTCTTTATGGAAAAAATTTAAAGTTTTTAAGTGGGTCATGATTCACTTTCGAGTTTGAAATGGGAATTTCAGTTTCTTGGTATGGTTGAATTCTATTTTGGAGGTGAGTTTAGTTCCATTTTTCCAGTTTGATTGTTGGTTAAACCAAGCATACTGGTTATTGTTTGTGTTGTTAGATATTGCTCCAGTTTGTAGTTTATGAATCAGTTGCGTATTTTTTAACTGAACGGTGGGCTCTAGTTGAGTTTAGCTTAGGAAATTGCTGCTTGTGTTCTTGGTTAAATTGGATCTTACTGTTGATATAGACTGTTCCTTTATGCATCACCTCAATTTTTATTTTATTGAGGAAGCTCGTGACCATTTGAATATGACTTTGGAACATCTACTTCAGTTATAAGATTTGCTGTCGGGTCTAGTAAATTGCAATTCTAAACCTTAAGTAGGGTCTCACCAGAGAAATTCTGTAATGGGAATGGGTATTATAACTTTTTACCTTTTGTATATGTAATGTGCTTATACTCAGTGTACTTAACTGCATAAATATGTTCTTTATGGAAATGCAATAACCTATTTCTTAAACTGCTCTGTTATCTAAGTTCTTAGCACATAATTACTCTTAAATCAGTCTAGTTATTCTTTCTCATTTTTGTAAAACTTGACCTAATAATCAGTGACCTTAGTAGCTCAAAATTCCTGAAATCAGTCTAGTTATTCTTTCTCATTGTTGTGTAGACTGATGCCTAAGACCATAATAGCTCCCTGAGCCTCATTTCTTCTTGCCTTTTTATAGGCCTCAAGTTTTAGCTTTTTCCTACACTGTTTAAACCTAAGTGCACTTGTATATTCATAATCATGCACTAATTCCCCTGCACTACAATTCCATAACTCCAGTTTTATTGATACCTGGTTAAAACCAATTTTAGAAGTGTAGAATTATGTCCTGAACTGTATTACAGATTTTGAAATTCCTTTCTAGAAATGCTTTATCTATGAGGGTAGCAATTAGAACATATGAATACTACCTAAGACACTATTTCAGAAAAAAAAAAGAACACTGCAGTTGCTTGGTTCCTTTAGATTTATACGCCTTTGCCTATCCAAAGTATATCATTCTGAATGTACGTCTTACACATATTTTTTGATGACACCCAGGAGATATCCATGGCCAGTACACCGATCTTTTGAGGCTTTTTGAGTATGGCGGTTTACCTCCTCGTTCCAATTACCTATTCTTGGGTGATTATGTAGATCGTGGAAAGCAAAGCCTAGAAACAATTTGCCTTCTCCTTGCATATAAAATAAAATATCCTGAAAACTTCTTCCTTCTGAGGGGCAACCATGAATGCGCTTCAATAAATCGTATTTATGGATTTTATGACGAGTGTAAACGGAGATTTAATGTCAGACTTTGGAAAGTATTCACAGATTGTTTCAACTGCCTACCTGTGGCAGCTCTTATTGATGAAAAGATACTCTGCATGCATGGTGGACTTTCTCCTGACTTGCATAGGTTGGATCAGATAAGATATTTACCACGACCTATTGAGGTTCCAGAAAGTGGTTTGCTATGTGATCTCCTGTGGTCTGATCCTGGTAGAAACATTAAAGGGTGGGGGCCAAATGATAGAGGAGTTTCCTATACCTTTGGTGCTGATAGGGTGACAGAGTTTCTTCAGAAGCATGATCTTGATTTAATTTGTCGTGCCCATGAGGTTTGGGATGTCTTCAAACTGAATCATTTATGTCCTGAGACAGTTTAGAGTGTTTTCACTCATTGGTTATGTTTCTATAAATTGCAGGTTGTGGAAGATGGATATGAATTTTTTGCTAATAGACAGCTGGTAACCATATTTTCAGCACCTAATTACTGTGGAGAGTTTGACAACGCTGGTGCCATGATGAGTGTGGATGAGTCTCTAATGTGTTCTTTCCAAATATTGAAGCCACAAGATAAGAAGCCAAAGTTCAGTTTTGGGAGCACAACCACAGTTAAGTCTGGTGCTCCTCCAATTAAGATGAAGGTAAATTCATAGCTTGTTAGCCCAAACTCTTTAATTTGTAATTAAAAGCCTGCATGATTTCTCTAAACTTTTGATTTTTCTCAGTCGTTTCTTGGTGCAAAAGTATGAGAAAGTAAACTGATGGAGATATCAGAAGAGGCCAGAAAGTTGCACCAATGGTATATGGAATATTGCCAAAGTAGTCATCTAAGAAGTCTGGGTTCCAAGAGTTTGTTCCCATGAAGGGAAGAATATGCATTGGCTGCTTCACTTAGTCGAGCTAAGGAGAACCGAAGATATTACTCCGCCAGCAAAATTGTGGAAGCTATAATCTTTTGCTTTACACTCCTTTGTGTACATTATTGATGCAGCAAATCTATAACTCTGTTGTCTCCCACTCTTATTTCCTCTGAAGTCTCTTCTCAGCTTCTTCGCTGATGCTCTTGTATCATAATCAGTTAATCACAGCATGAAATTCAGACGGTTGTCTTGACATTCCTAGTGGAATGCATTGTTCCTTCCTGTAACTTCATAACTGGGATGAGTGTGTTGTGTTTCGCATTATATAGAAACTCATTGATATAATATGCTCCTAACCAGGGTGAATCATTAATTTTCAGATTTTGATGGTTAAATATCACTAGATTATTGTCATCATTCTTGGAAATTACAAGCCCGTTTGCATGGCTTGTTTGTGCATCTCAAGATGGGAGGTTGAGTGGTATCTTGATTGCTTTTGGAAACACAAATGAATTTTTAGTCTAATTGATGGACTTTTTGTATTCATTTGACTTATCCCTCTTCTGTGATAATCTATCAAGTTGATTGGGCCATAGTCAGGAACATCTAAGCATTTCTAAGGCCTTTTCTACAAACACTTTTTAATCAGGAAGAATTCAAAGATCTTTATCAACCTGGTGAAAAAATGTGATCTTTCACAGGGATTTCCCAGATCACTCATGTCACGTTTAGTCCTGTAGTCCGATAATTTTCAAACCCATCGAAGTTACAACACGAGAACACTATACTTACACCTTCGGGCCATTTCCTTGGGCTGCATTAGGACTGGTTGCTCGTTTCCAGCAAACTGTCTCTAAAGGAAAATTAAAAAACGCGGCGGAGGAAAATTAAAAAACGCGCCGGGGGGTTGGGGGGGTGGGGTGTTCTTAAAAAGCAATTGGATTATATATGAAGCATTCTGCAGAGGTCGGGACACAATAGAGGAGGGTTGCAATCCAGCCAACAGTATCAATTAAAGTTGTTTGCTTCAATTAGAATGTTAAGAAAAGAACTCTTGTAGTAAGATATTATGCCTAAAAAATCAGGGCTGACGTAAGCTTATGCCAATAAGGGCCAATTAGAATTTAGGAAGGCTTTGTGTCGTCCAGACATTACCACATTGCGCAAGGACGGAAGAGGTATGGCTGTCATCAGTGTGGCAGTTGAAAGCTTGGCTTGTGAGTGACTAGGAATTGGCCACCTGCCCAAGCCCTATGCGATTTAAGGATATCTCATGTGCAATCAGTCAATGGGAAGTAGGTTAGGAATTGTATCACACCTACCTGACTGCAAAATCATGATTATTACCTTGGATCCCTCGACTATAAATAGAAGGCTCCTCTCTCATTTACGGGATTCACTCATTTTTAGTTTTCTAAAGCAGACTCTCTCTCTTTGTATTTAAATTCTCTCTAGATTGTAACTCAGCTCGCTGTACGCGACCTGACTATAATCACCCATTAATACAACTATAGTGGACGTAGGATTCGCTTTTGAGCATCCGAACTACTTTAAAAATTGTCTCTTGTTTATTCTCTCCTTGCGCAGTTCCATATCACGTGTAATTTTTAAGTTCGTTTAGCACTTTATACGTGCGAGTCGTCGGTGTCAAAATCAAGCATCAACAGTTTAGCGCTAGAAGGAGGGCCTAATTTAGTATCCGCTCTTCATCAGGAATCTCTGACCAATTGGTCCTATCCATTAGCAAATACCTCGACAATGAGGAGATCCCCCGGGTACAAGATGACTCTTCTCTCGAAGTGCCTCTAGTCTAGTAGAGTACCATGGCGAATATTCCTTCGAGCTCACAACTCGACCCAGACGTGATAGATTACCTGGAGAGGTTCAACAATACTCTCCAAACGGTTAGTCAGAGGTTATACCATTTGGATTGGGTCGTACCACCAAAGTCAGACGAGGCGGTGCCACCACCAAAGACGCCTGCAGGTCGTGCGAAAGCGCG